TTGGATACGAATTTAGTTTTGTATATACATCATGCTTCTGACCAAAATTCACTAAAGAAATTAAAACCCAGCGTTGCATCCTCGCAAACGCTCAACTCCAACCCCGACATGATACCCCCGCTTCCTTCAGTATATGCAACTCGCTAATGACTGAAAATATATGCAGAACGCGCTAATAATAACAAAGAATCATTCCTTCCCCTTCCGTCTGAAAATCCCCCCTTCTTTCAACGCCTATTCCTAAACCTCATAACTTTTCATCATCTTCTGATCCTCAGATTCGATCCTGTCACATTCTAAAACTTTCGATCTAGCCAGTAGCATCATACCAACTCGTGACCCTCTCTCCCAAATCTCCACTTCCCTGTCCATGCATCAATCTCTCTTTCCTCTTCATTCTCCTCTCTTCCTGGCGTTCCTGAAATCGTTTCTTCTCCGGACCTTCTTGAAACAATTCCTCGACATGGGGTTTCAAATTCGGTTTTCCGCTGCTGCTTTGCGAGCCGCAGGAACTGACGGTGTCGAAGCGGTCGATGACGGGTTTGATGGAGATGACGGGTTTAGAAGATTTTTGTTCATTCTGGGTGAGGAAGGGATTGTTGGAGGGGGACCCCGGAGAATGGGTTCGGGAGTGGCGAAGATGGAGTCGGAGGGGACGATGGAGATACCGGGGGTGTTGGAGAGGTAGATCATTTTGGGTTTTACTTTGGAGATGGAGGTTTGTTTGCTGTGGTAGTATTTTCCAGCTTGGGGGCGGGAGGACTCGGAGGTGGTGGGGTGGCTGGGAGGGAGGGGTGGATATGGGGACGTGGGGTAGATGGAGAGGATGCTGGGGAGGGGAGGGACTTCGGTTATGTCTTGGGGTGAGATGGGGAAGGTTTGGAAGGTGGAGACGGAGGTTTGGGAGTGGGTGGAGTAGCGGGCGCCGAAGGTGTGGAAGGATTGCGCGGAGGGGGATTGGAGGGGTGGAGAGGTGGGCGAGGCGAACTCGGTGGTTGTGGTGGGCGTTCGAGGTGTGTTGGGGATGGACGAGATGGAATGGCGAGATCGAGTTTGGAGAGCTCGGGGAGAGGAGGGGGTTTCGACGACGGAGAGTGAGCGTGCTAGGGCGCCGTAGGAGATTCCGACGGTTCGGGGTGAAGGTGGCATATTGTGGGGGAAATCTGAGAAAGGCCTATCAAGTCGAGCAATGGTCTTCACTGGTACTTCAGGTGGTGGCGGGGTTCGAGGTAGAGATTGATGTGGGGTATTAGGTCTAGAGGTTGTCGAAAGGGTTATAGAAGGTAGATCCAGTGCCGGCAATATGGGCGGCAAGGATCCTCGTGAGTTGGAGTCATTACGAGAGTGGTGAGGAGGAAATAGGGCACCTCTAGGTTCGACCATCTCAGGAGATGTAGGGGAGTTAGCGGTGGATGTCGAAGGCCACCTTACAGGAGCAGTATCTATTCGAGCAACTGGCTCGGGACTTTGTCCCACTCCTCGCAAGTTTTCATCTATTGTCGATAGAAGACCTCGTGGCTCTCCCCAAGATTCACCACGATTTCTGTTCTTCGGAGAGGTTGGCGACATGTATGAAGTGATACGCTGTGTGTGGACTCTAAATGATTTCCGAACGCCAATACCTCCCCACTTGAAAATTTGGGTATCGTTTCCTTGAAGCTCCACTGGAGTCTTACCCATCTCTTCATCCTCGTCAAGGTTCTTGAACCTCCCTCTTGTTGAAGAGTTTTTCTGGTTTCTTCTCCGTTTCCATAATAGCCATGCACCGACAGCGAGTATTAGTAACAAGGCCGCGACAGCCAGAACAATCATAGCCTTTGCGACATCACTCATACCCTTACCCGAAGAGTCATTGGAGGACGTCGATGTGCTAGACGGCGAGCTGGCTAGTGCTATTGGCGTAGCAGTCGCGGTCACCGAAGTAGCGGCCATCGAAGTAGATGATACTGCACTACTCGAAGTTGTACTACTTTGTGATGACGTAGTGGAAGAGCTCGAGGCGCTTGATGTTGCTGATGAAGAGCTCGAAGAGGAGGATGTGGAGTCATTAATAAGGACACAAATCTGGCCAACAACCTTCAAGGTAGCTATGAAGAATTAAGCTTGAGTTCTGAACTATCCGGGGAACAACTTACTGCTAGCATCAATAAGACTGCAAGAGTCTTGTATACAGGTGGTCGCATTCGATACGGTCGAACTCTGTACCGAGTTTCCACTTTCGTCTGCACAAAAGCAACTATAATCACCAATACTACATCCAAGTGTGCTTGTAGCTGTGTCAAGACAGCTATCCGAGCATGACGGGAGAGAATTAATTTCGTCCGAAAGGGATTGAGTGTTAACAAATGTCGATAACAAAAGAATTATTGAACAGTATGAAAAAATCATTATGAAGCTACATTACTCGTAGTACAACAAAAAAGAAACATCAACGTCGCAAAAGGAACCAGAATCATATCACACGTTGGGTAGCCGTAGATCTAAAGTCAATATGTCAAGACCCCGGTCAGAAGATGACATGGGGATAGATGAGAATAGAATAAGCTCTAAAACTCGAACGGCGCTCAACCTACTGCACAGTATCCACAAAAATATACGTTTGAACATATCAATGGAGGCGCAGCTGGCAGGGTTACAGTGTAAACATTAACTTGGATGCCTTTATTAACCGGATTGCAGATGAGAGTGCTTGGAGTAGGATTAAGGATTACCATCAGTATGGTCCGCGTCTCCAAGTCATCGGAAACTAACCGTGAAACGCCCCTCCGAACCTCGTGCTACAAGTTATGTTACTCTCGTAGAATTTACTCAAATTCTGCCTGCGCTTAACTCGCCCCGCAATATCGTTTGGAGAGTCGAGACTAATTGTCAATGGCAGAGGTACTCTGTATGAAATGATAGAAACGGTGAACTAAGGATGAGTGGACATTACAGCATTACATCCAATCGATCCACTTTGCATCCTCGAAGGATTTTAGACGTCGATATAAATCCCTGTCCCTTCATGCCATTTGAGGAAAGCGCAGTAACGTGTTAGGTTCAAGGGCGCTACCAATTAACCACACGAACCCATAGGCACTGAAGCAAAAAAGAAAGACAGAAAGTGCCACGTCTGAAACATGTAAACATTTTCCAGTACTCCTACGTAGAAGCTGGATAGAAGTAAGAGAAACATAACTTTACTTGAAACAGAAACCCCACAGTTTGAGAAATCCCCTTTCTCTTCTTCATCTATAGTGTAGATACATCGAAACCTTATGAGATGAACCCGAAGCAAGTTAGTTGTGAGTTGTAACGCAATCACAAAACCAACAAAAGCAAGCTCATGAACGGATGTTTAAAGATTCCCGAAAGAAGACATTTGGGTATCAATCTCTAGCATTGCGTCCAATTACCAATTTCCACAAAAAACAAGCTCTGGAGTCAAGATGTCCACCCACTGTAACTGCAACAGTACCAAAATACTTCAACACGGAAATACCGTATCTTCAATAGACCAAAACATGCATTGATAGATTGATAGACATTCAATCTTCTCGTATGTTTGATGATTAATATGGATTCCAATCCCATGACAAACACGCGAGCGATGGTACGCAATAAATGTAATTGACCAGATGAGTTCAGACGAAGATAGAAATGACATTGTACCAAAATGTCTTAAATATCCTCTACCGCCATCCCTTACTCGTAGCATTGACCGCCAATTTTCGTCTTCGCTTCTCGACTTCTTCCCCTTCATCAACTCGATCTAGTGACTCAGCCTTATTAAAAGAAATTCTCCATAGCATAACGATGTCTCAAACAACTTTCCGACATTAACATCACGACTAGAGATCTATAAAGTTGCACATCTCTGGCGGTATCCTTACTAATCCACAAGAGGAAACGATTTGTTTGTCAGATCCCACCCAACCACCAGCCACAACCACAAATAGCTACACACATAGTATTACATACCAGCCATCCTGCATGCGAAATCCTTCGTTCTACAAGTGGATGGAATACGCCTCCAACTTCTCATATTCGCAAGCTTCCACCGTGAAAAGAATCTTACAAGATACACTTGATAGATTCTCGCGACTTACTTAATCCTCTTGCTTCAACTTCTGCACAGGGTTCTTTACATACACACACACACACATACATGACTAAAACATGCACCTAATGACCTAAGTAAAATCTCTCTCATCCACCCCTCATTCTTCTCCTCTAAGTAAGCAAGCAAGCACAATGCCTCACTCTATGAATATTGTCCATATATACGATCGTATCCTAAAGCCCACCTATGCATGAATCTGTAAGAAGTATCCCGCTCCAGGCTGCGAATTATCTATTCTATCCATCCCATTATCAAGAACTATCTACCCAATTAAAACAGAAGATATCCCCCATTTACCAGATATTGATGTAAACTTTGCGAATCCCAAATGCGTATTTCTCTTGATTCGTCTCTAGACATTAGAAACCCAGCTGGTTCCAACGTTCATCGGGGCTGATACCCAGTATGGAATGAGTATTGAGGGGGTTTCGCAAGCTTATCGTTCGCTTCTTTACCTATGTGTGATGTGAATTCCGTGGCTTGCTGCTCAATGTTAGTTTCTTGAAGCTATCCGATACTTACCCAATTCTCATTATATAGTATGTCATCTCACAGAGCCGCAACTGGCAAAATAGCACTTCACATTCCACGACATACAAATTTAAGGCATCAAACTGTAACAAGAGTCCAAGAAGTTTCAAATCTAGGTATATTTGCAATTCAATAATCCATAACCATTCCATATATGCAATATCCTGTTCCACTGCTAAAAGCATAAAACCTCCCTTACCCAACGCCATATATCATACAGCATATACATGCGCCTGAGCCTGTGTCGTCCGATGTAGCCAATCCCTCATCAAGTTTTGATACCCAACACCAATCAAATGCCACATCAATCCCGATCCTCCACTACGACCACATACTTTGATTTTGACCAGCTGCAAGAAGTAAATATCTATCTTCCTGGCATTTGTCCCATATTCATCATTTGATTCTTTTGGGCTTCCTGCATCATCCTCTGTCTCATCATTTCGTTTTGCATCTTTTGCTGATGTTGTTGCTGTTGCTGCTGCAATTGATTTTGATTTTGGTTAAGGCCGGGCATTCCCATATTTTGTTGACCTTGCTGCTGATGCTGCTGCATTTGACCCATGCCAACCATACCGCCCATACTGCCTTGAACCATTTGTCCTTGCCCTTGCCCCTGCCCTTGCGCCATCCCATTCTGGCCTCCTATCATATTCTGTACGCTCTGCCCCATGTCACCCTGTTTCTGTCCTGCTGCCTGCATTAGATTCACGTGTTGTTGTGCCTGCGCTTGTGCTCGACCTGCTGCGTTTGGTGGCCCAGCCGGTGTATCTTTCTTGGGATCTACGCCTGGGTAAAGGGCCTGTAATCGTTTATAAGCCTCCTTTAAAATCTCTCTTCGATCTTCGTGCCCTTCCTCGGGCTTCGATGCCGGATCATCGTCGTTCGTGGGCGCAGATACAGGGATGGTATGCGCGGGTTTGTATGTAAGAGTTGGCGCAAACATGATTGCGGGATGCGAGGGGATCTGAGCTGCGGGCTTGTGCGAGCGATCGGCGATTGCGGCAAGGTAAGCTAGATTCGATTGTAGTCGTCGCATACATCTTCAGATTCGTTAGTAAATGCTTCAGCCTCAACACGTATAGGGGACAAACTGCATATATTCGGTCGCCAGAAGTTTATGCTCTGCCTCAAGCGTTGACTTCTCGGCGGGATCCTCCGTTTTGTTGTTCTTCAAATCAGTCTGTAGAGCTATTATCCGCATAATTTCTAACAGCATTTCTCGATTGATATCTAGTAGTACGGTGACCCTTTCCTTCTCTCGAAGCTCTGAGCCAGGACTTAATGGCGTACTCATGGCGGCTCCCGCGTTTTCAGAATTTCGCACACCTGGCGGGAAGCTTGGGGTCTGCGGAGTCAAGCTCATTCCTCCGTGTTGATTGTTATTAGGGGTTTGATGGTGTTGCTGATTAGGATTCGGTGGTATAGCGAATTGTGCGTTCGACGCGCTTGGTGGTGTGCTCTGGGGAAAATTCCCGTAGGGAGAGACGCGGGAAGTCGCCGACGTCGGCGTCGGTGTAGAAGATGGTGGTGGCTGCATACGCTGTATTTGATGCTGCTGCTGTTGTGGTATCATTGCGGAAGGGTTCATCCCATATTGTGGGGGCGCATTTGATGCGGTCGGCATGAAGTTTGTAGGGTGTGAGACGGAAGAGGATGTAGCGATATTGTTGCCGTAAGGGGAGCTTGTATATGGCGTTTGATAGGAAGAAACTACTTGGAAACTAATCAGTCATCTTGCTCTGTTTAATCACCACTGTGAGAGTAACAAGTTGCCGCCTGCCTTTCTGCTTAACGTGAATGACTGTATGTATATTCGACACCTCGCATCCCCTTCATAGTCTGCTTAACAGGAGCTGTGTAGTCTTTCATCTTTGGCATTGACGCGTGCACAAGACATGCAGCAGCAATGCACTCTTATAGCAGATTACAAAAGAGTTATTAGAATGTGCGACTCACCATTTCCACCAGGCATATGCGCCAAACCGCTGTTCTGCATCATTCCCATTCCACCGGCATTCCCAGCCATGCCGGGGCCAGATGCGCCGTAAGGTGATTGATGACCTCCGGGCCCGTATTGTTGAGCATTATACATCATGTGCTGAGGCTGTTGTTGACCTGGTTGATGGACATTTTGAGGAGCCTGTGGATGGCCACCATTGGGGTTGAAAGACTGCGTATTGTTCCCCTGCCCAAAAGAGTAATTTGGTGCATACATGGCTCTTGGAAGTCAATAAAGGGGCCTATGATAGGCTGCCTATCATAATCTCAAGTCGCACATACGCCGCACGGCAATGATTTAGCTGGGAATTGCTAGATCAACTTTCGTTCGTTCGGGAATGTGCGTAAGGCAATGCCAAGGGTCTTTGGTTCTCGTTGGGTGGTCTCGTTTCGGGAAGTTTTTTCTGGGGTAATTTGGAGATGGGTGGGCTGTAGGATGTGGGATGGGTAGATGACGGTCTCTTGAGCTACTTTTTTGCTGTCCTCTTTCTTTTCCAGTATTACGATGTGGGTTGTTTTCTGGGGTGTGAGAAATTAATGCGCGTTTGCCTTCGGATGCATCGTAACAAGAACCGAGCTCAAATTTGGCAAGGATTTTTAACCGAAGTCATATCGAGTGGTGGAAAAGCAATCTAGACCAGGAATGTGAACATATCTAGAAAAGATTCATGCAACGACATGGTATGGACTTTTGTTGTACATTCAAAAGGCGATATGGAAAGAATTAGATGGCCTCAAATGCTTCAGGATACTTTAATGAGCGGACCGACCGATATGAGTTTTCAGATCTTGGATCTCATGGTACCGTTATTGCCCCATCCTTCGACTGTTGATTGAAGTTTTTGCTAGAATCAAAATGATGGGATTGCTTCGATTACTGCACATCTTTAACCCGCATCTGCTAAGTGGTAAGATCGGATTGCACACGCATGACAAAATGCTCCTAACCATGCACAATCATTGACTTTCCGTTGTACAATGATTGATTCATCTACTCTTACAATGTTTCTTGACGGTTAAGAGAGTCTTGTGGGCTTTGATCTACGCATTGCCATGCAAACGAACCTCTTGTACCTGGCGGCGCTTTCGTCGGAAGGGAAATATGCATGTTCGTCTCAGTAGGGATTAGGTACAGGTAACGGTAACACAAGCAAACATACAACTTCAGTTCCAGATAATCCTTACTTTTCTATTTTATCATTATGTTTACCTATCAACCAATCGCTGACAACAAGCTTCCAATTACCAATATGTGGCATATTTCGAATTTCCTCTTACAACATTCAAGAATTCTTGAGCAATAACTTTATCTGTTCCTTGAGAAGGGTGAAGTTCGTCGTACCACATATAGCCATCTAAGCTTCCTGGTTGCTTGGGACAAGGTGATCCGGAGACAGCACAGAGAATGTATGATTTATCGACAACGGCTGGTGCTGGTAAATACTGCGTTGGATTGTTATAAATGTCGGTAAGTAATGAATTGGTATCGAAGATAGCGATCGACGCTCCTGGGTAACGCTTTTTAATTACCATTTCAAATGGTACTCGGTAGTCGAATATGTCATTGGCCAATTGAGTATATTCTTTCATTTTCCCGCTGATTTCTGAGATGTTGCTTGGCTACAAATGTGTAAGTTTAAACGCCAAATGAGATGGGTTGAGATTCTCACTTTGTTGGGCCAATAATGGCTAGCATTCAATCCTCCTGCACCTGGCATCCCATACAATGGCGTTAATTGTAACGGTGCATTATTCATCAGAACAAAATATCTGGCTCCGGTCTGATAGATTCCGTCGAATCTATCGAAAATGCAATCAACGTAGTCTGGAATGGTTGTTCCATTCAAGGAAGAGTCTGTCAAAAAGGCACCCTCTCCCAGATCGTTGGTACCAATCCACATTGAGTATACCGTATTGTCAGACTTACGGTTGGTATAAAGAGTGTTGGTATTTGTGGATGAATTGATATAATTGACATCCGCAACGAACGCATCAACTTCATAGACAACATCAGGGAAGGGTCCAAAGATACTGGCTAAATATCGATTGATGATTCCGTTAGAGCAGACTGCTCCAGCGACAGCATAATCATAAAGCTTAGCTCCGCTATAATTCGACACCCATCGATCCCAGGTGACGCCTCCACCAGCAGTCGAATTGCTGGATGGGAGTAAAGTTCCTGGAGGCGGTGCCGAACCGTTGTGAGTTTGGAAATAACTCAGTCTAGACTCGTCTGTATAGCTATTGTTAAATTAATTTTAGCCATTCTCTCTCACATGATTTTTCGAAAATATCTAAGAATCCGTGAGATTGACAACCGTCAACTTACCTATCTCCAAAAGCTACCAAGTTCTCAAAGCGCGGAATCCAGCCATTTTTATGTGCAGATGATGCCAAATCTGCCTCCGATGCATCAGGTATAGCGGCTGACAATCCATATCCAGTAAACAGAGGAACCGAATACTTAGAGATCTTCATCTTGTCTGTTGTCCCAAATTCCAACCAAAGAAGTAATGTAAACCACATAGAAAAGAAGCCAAGACATGACGAGAAGTTCCCAACCTTTATATCTACCTACCCATCCTCCCATCTCCACATTCAATTCATCCAGGAACGTACGGATCCCATTTTAAATTTCGGAGTATCATCCAACCTTCGTGTTATTATTTTTCCGAACCTTGGAAAGCTAAAGACTTACGAGTAGCAAGCTGGAGACGGTATACCCCGCACAAAGTACCCCGCGATATGTCAAGGTACATGCCGGTTGAATAGACGAAAATGCTATTCTACCGAAGTAGCGTATCGGAGAGGGAGAGTTTCCATATTATCAGACGAAAGGTTGGAATTGTCCGAAGTTCCGATGATTGATCTGATAAATGTAAACGTCCGTAACACTCATCAACAACTACCTACGCACGCCAAGTAGTGAGGTAATGATTTATAGTCGGCCATGATTTCAAGATGCCAGCCATTATCAACCTTCTCTACAATAGCCTCATCTCAGATCAAGATGACGAGATCCTCATCCAATTAGGTAACCAAAACAGTCTCTGCATCAGGTACATATAGGCTGAATTCATCATATGGTCTTTTTAGTGGGAACTTTAGACAACAGGCGAATGCGGATGAAGAGATGATTGCATGTTTATTTTAAGTATTCTGCAGCATCGTTAAGGGTACAGGACAGGAAACTGTGTGCCCGTCACTCGCCTCTTTTTTCGTCTTGGAAAAGCTTCAACACTCTTCATTTGACTCGAGGTTGTTTTGGGTTTGTATGATGAATCAAGCGCGCAGTGTCTATCGAGGGAATAGGCTAATCCCACAAAGCAGTTATTGGAGTATATAAGGCAAGTTCCTGATCTTGAGATGATGAAAATAGAGGACAAGGAGGAAGGGATAAGAGAATGTGTTGAATTCGCGGCACGGTTTATCTTGAATATATATGTGTAGCATGAACATCTGAAGATCTCTCATGCATCTGGCCATACTCTATCTTCCTATGGGATAGTCCTTATCCTCATCTCAATAACGTGATTGTGTGCGAGCTGGCGCCAGCGTCGTTTTAGAACCCCTGTGCCTGAGCATAGAAATACTAGTACAAACAAAAAGGAGAAATTCGTTGTGAATTCCCCTTTCCATATCATACAATTATTCCTATACTCTCGTATATCAACTGATTAGATTACCTGAACTGATGTGTCTATCTCAACCGATATGCTTGTTCCAATGGATATCAACACCTCAACTGATATGAGTACCTTAATTGACACAATTGTTCCTGTTTATATCAATATTCCAATTCACATCATACAATCACTCTGGTACTCTCTCATACATTGCTACATAACTACATTCTTCAGTAACTTCTAGGCAGGCCAAGAACCTTCTCTCCAACATAATTCATGATCATTTCCCTTGAAACTGGTGCAATTCTTGGAACAAAGCACTCTCTCAAGTATCTCTCAACATGATATTCCTGGGCATAGCCCATACCGCCCAAACTTAACACGCTCCTTTCACAGGCAGTAAAGGCTGCTTCAGCTGCTAGATACTTTGCACTGTTGCACGCAACACCAACAGCTGCCTGGGTTATTGTCTCATCCGTTGTCGAGCTATCATACAATTTCGCAGCATGATAAGTTGCCAACTTTGCGGCTTCGAGGTGCATGTATGCGTCGGCCAATGGATGCTGAATACCTTGATTCATACCTATAGGCCGGCCGAAAACGATTCTTTCTTTTGCATACTGGGAAGCTCGGTACAAGGCAGCATACCCGAGACCTAGTGCTTCGCCTGCCAAGAGACATCGTTCAGCGTTCATGCCATGGAGTACAATTTTGAAACCTTGCCCTTCTTTGCCGATTAATGAATCACTATCGACAATGTAATTGTCGAAGAAAACTTCGTTTGCATCAATAGCACGCCCGCCCATCTTTTTGATTTTCTTGAGTTCGAGACCGGGCTGTTTAGGATCGAAATCGATGAAGAAAAGGGATAACCCTTCAGAAGGCTTTGTCACTTCTCCCAATGGAGTAGTTCTAGCCAACAGCACCATCTTTGTCGCGACCTGTGCTGAGGAAATCCATATTTTCTGACCCGATATTTTGTAAGTATCGCCTTCACGCGTAGCTCGGGTTCTGAGCTTGAGAGTGTCCAAACCAGTGTTCGGCTCGGTGACTCCAAAACACGCTCGCCAGGTACCGTCGATCAACTTGGGTAACATTCTTTGACGTTGCGAGGCCGTCGCAAATTTCGCGACGGGTTGGGTAGCATAAACGTCTGGTACGTATTGATTAGCATTGCAATGTTTTGAATCACTGAAACCACAACATTATTTGAAATCGTTGAACCTGAGAAGGCTGAGGTTCACGACTGGTCACCTAAATAGTGGGAAATTCTCGGTGGAATAGAACTCCAGCATGTTTGGGTCAGACGGACTTGCATGTATACTTTGGGCACCAGCCATGCCTCCACCGCTCTCAGATATGGTCTGCAAAAGCATCGTGGCTTCTGAGATTCCAAGACCCGATCCTCCAAGTTCTTCCGGAAGGGCAATGCCGATCCATCCACCCTTTGCTAGATCACGATGTAAATCGTGAGGATATTCACCAGTTTCATCACGCTTCGCCCAATATTCCTGACATATTCAGTGAGAAGTTACGGCAGTTTGAACCGGAATGATCTTCTTACATCAGGATATTTTGAGCAAATTTTGGCAATGGCTTCTCGAACCTCCAGTTGTGTTTCTGAAAACCCACTTGTTTCCATCAGTGTATTGGCTCTTAGGGAAGTCGAAGCTGTGAATGCTCTCCTGGCAACCGCATTTTGATTCAGTCTCAGGCCTAATAACCTAGAAATGTTGGAAACTCTGGTGCAAATCATTATGCTGGTAAATAAAATTGGAAATGTCTTCCTTCATCAACATGTAAGCTAAGGTTTCAATCCGTTTGACTCTTTTCATGAATAGAAGAAAAGTGGTAGTCAGTCCTGTTGTTGTTTCCCGCGGCTACACGAAACAAGCCGGAATTGACCGCTCGCAAAACCTTCAACAATCCAATTGTTCCATTTCAATTGGATTACAATTGAAGAGTCAGACTCTATTGAGTACTATTAACTCTCATGATTTTATTTGTGGCTGGATTATTATTGCGGACGAGCTGGCGCCCACGTTATTTTAGAGCCCTTGTGCCTGGAGTGCAGATATATGAAAGACAGACCTTATGATTGTTCCAATTCGTATCATACAATCAGTCTCATATCAATATATGAGACTACCATATAATTATATGATTTACCTATTTTAGTAAAGAGACTCTATACTGTCTACGAACTTTTCTATAAAAAACCCTGATACAATGATTTTATCACAGACTCAAAAAGATAGAATTTATTGGGATGAGGTAGTGTCATGAAACAGTCATGTGATTCAGAATTTAGGGATGAGCCGTTGACGCGTGGGGGTAACCAAAACAATCATACAGCATCACTAAGTTTACGAATTTTAAGACTTCAGCTCATACTCTCATGACCACCACAACGCAAATCGCCCAACCTTCAATTAATGCTAATAGCTTACAAAGAAATGATCTTGTCATCTTCCGAGTAATTAATCACGTCAAATTATTCGGTACTTCATAACACGACGCGCTGTTTTGAACAGCAGAAAAGATGGCAGCAATGCGACCAAACAAACGATTGCAAGTAGGGTCGAAAGGGTGGGTAGCAGAGGAACGATCGAACGCGCTGCAGCTTGCAGCAGCAGAGGCAGAGGAGTTTACATTTGCTGCCAGGAATGAGATTGACTGGTTGAATGAACATATGGCAGAAATATTCAACAAGAATCAAGTGTATGTAAACAAACCTGCGACATTGGGCACGAGCTGACCTTGCGTCCTTTAGGAACGTTGCCGAAATATTTAAAACGCCGGGGAAGTTACGTGGAAAGACACCTAGAACAGCTAGGAAACTGAATCAATTGGAAGTGCGCGCAGTATGTCTATCAAATGTATGTAGCGATTTATACTAATACCAAGCAGCCATTATCCGATGTCTTTTCGGCAACACCGCAAGGAGCCCCAAGTCCATTCAGACAACCCCATCATGAGCGATCACCCCCAAAATTTCGAGTAGCAGAGGACGCCCCGGCAGAAACTCAAGAGGAACCTACTCAACCGCAACCCTCACATCGTCCATCTAGCTCTGGCACTGCGCAGAGCAGTGTTCAGCGCAAATCTTTCATCAACGCTCTCGATTCCGGTTATTACGGAAGTCAGCTTGAGGAGGCGACGCAACCTAATACTCAACCTACCGAACCAGAATCATTCGCAACAAGCCCACCCCGACAATTCATACCCCGAGAAGATACAATCGAGAATGAAGATAATGAAGAGATTGCAAGCAATGTGGGTAACATAGAGAATGAAGAAGACGGGCCTGAGGAGAAGATAGCCCATGTCGAAGAGAGTCCAGTCGCAAATTTAGAGTCTGAAGAGCAACGAACCGTCGAGGTTTCGTTTCAATCTGCACAAGAAGGTTCGCCAATAGCGCCCACCATTGAGGTAGAAGCACAGACAGAAACAGGAATAGAAGCTCAACAAGTTGAGGATAGAACACAAGACAGGGAGCCAACAAACGGAGATCAGGTCATGGGAGATGTCGAGTATCCAAATCTCGAGTTACAGCCTCATAACCAGAGCCTAGTCCATTCATCACCGGAAAGACGTTCACAACAGAAATCTCCATCTAAATCTCCCTCAAGGGTCGAATCTCCTTTCAAAGAGCCCTCGGTAGAGCCACAGTCTTCACCATTTGCCCCTCAAGATGACCCCAAAGATGAGGACGAGCAGATGGATGATATTCCTGATGCTCAATCTGCTTCCGAAGGATCCAGCCCGATACGCCCTATTTTCCGCAAAAGCAGTTTGAATTTTGCTTCTCTACCTGCGCGAGATTTATCCAAGAAAAGTCTCGGGCATCGTACTTCGCGAACGAGCCATCTAGATCAGACACGTACCAGTCATTATGGTCGGCCTACAGGCGGAAAGAGTCTGGGCAACGTCAAAGAAGATCTCGCAAACAAAAATGAAGACGAAATGGACGTTGATGAAATGCTTGAGTCGACTGGACGGGAAGAATCTGAAGCCGAAACATTGCTGGCACGTATTCACAATAAAACGTCGACACAACGTCTTCAGGACCAGATCAGTATGCTTGGTCAGTCTCAGCCTACAACCAGACCTGCGTCGAAATCTCTTGTGGGTGGCATAATACCCTCACGCCAGTCGATACAAGCGATTCAACCTCCAACGCCACAGCATAGACGAGAGGAAGCATCGCCGCCATCAAAAGATAAGCCCTTTGCGACTCCAGGGGCCTTCCCCGAAGATGAGGATAGCTGGATTGGACCTCCAACAACAGCGTTGCATGGAAAGTCGATTTTCAGCCCTCGCCCAACCATTGCCAAGAACCACACTGCAGATGTGATGGAGAGCGTGCGTGGCAAAGAGACTGTTAGTGGATCAGAATTTATCGTTCCCGACAACGGAGACGAAGGAAGGCAAATATCTCCAATCCGTGAAACCAATGTGAGAGGTCTAACTAAATCTATCTCGACTTCGTTTATCTCCTCGCCTAAGAGAGCTGTTGGGTCACAAAGTCCTAACAAATTGATGTCGGTCTCCAACCCAAATCTTCCTATTAATGCAATCGATGAGGATTCTACAACTCCTCCAAAGTCTCCACCCAGGACTCTTAGGGGAAGCCCGTTGAAGGTTGCGAAAGACAAATTCTCTTCGATTTTGAAATCAGGAAAGACTTTATTTGCAAGTAGCGCAGCTGCAAGTGCCGAAGCAAAAATTGAAACTCTATCATCGTCTACAAGAATTTACCAGAACAGTGTGCCTTCCTTTGAAGATGTACTTCAGAATGAGAACAGCGACGCCGAAGTCTCATATCCGAAAATGGATATGCATTTCAATGATTCAATCCCCAAACGTATTCAAAGTCCTGTCAAAGCCACCACCCGCAAAACTAGAGCTTCTACTGAAAAGGAAGAGAAACGCAAAGAAGAGGCCGCTAGAGAAGCTAGAGAGGCCAAAGAAGCTAAAGAAGCGCAAAAGATGAATGATCAATTGGAGAAGGCACGCATGAAGGTCAAAGAGGACGCACGTGTTTATCATCAAGAGCAAGAGCGAGCCGCAGCCATGCAGAGGGAAGTGATCTCCCGGAAAGAACAAGAAAAATTGGCAAAGGCGAGTCAAGTTGAAGTGCCAAAGGTAGCTCGAGGTAGTCCACGAAGAACGAAAGCTCAATTGGAAGCAGAGGCCATAGCAACTACAGCTTCATCCGCTAACACGTCTTCCGGTAAGGATACCGATATGACCGATGTACCAGCATCGATGCCACCGCCTTCTATTCCAAGACCAAAGTCTCAAATTGGGCGACCACAGGCCAAACGGCCATTAAGACCAGTGAAAGACACGGCTCCCAAAGCCAAGGCACCAGCGACTGTGATACGTGTCGACACTGGTTCCTCACGCGGTCAGCAATATCATCCATCTAATGCAACACTTGCAGCAACCTTGGAACAGTCCTTACAATCTTCACAAGGCGGACACCTACGAAATAAAGCTAGCTCTAGTTCGCTACAAAGCAAATCTTCGAATAACAGCTTCAAGGCGCAAGCTAACAAAGCCCTAGAAGCAGCTGCACGAAAGAAGGAGGCGGATGAACTTGCTGCTCAACAAAGAAGGGATGCGAAGTTGGAAATGGAACGCCAGCGAGCCGCTACAAAGGAAGAGCAAAGGCGACAAAATGAGCTAACTGTCAAACGTGACCAAGAGCGTCAACGGGAGCAGCAGAAGGAAATCAGTCTTAGCGAGGCTAATAAAAGGGCCATCGAAAGGGCGAAGCAGAAGAGAGCTCCTCCGCCAGCTATTCGACCTCAACAAAATACCGATCAATGGCTTGAGAAGTCATTGCCACCAGTTCCACTTCAAAGAAATGACCTAGGCGGGCAAGCAAAAGCTACCCGTATGAACACTGCCAAAGCACCGCCAAAAAGACCTTTGCTAGAGAACAATGAAGAGATTGCTCGTCCACCAGTTCAGCGAAATGCTCCTTCAATTCACGGTGACCCCCGCACTAAACGCCAAAGGACTAACGAGTATCTTGATGAAGAAGATGAGTTGACGGAGTCTCATCCCAAAATGACTGCTCCCCCAATTCGTCAATCCAGTATTCGTCCAAAGGTAAGCCTATATTCATGATCAGCTTAACTTGTCATACTAACCAAAGATAGGAGATGCCCACAAAGTCGTTATTTGCAAGCGGATATGCTCATGCCCCACCGCCTGCTAATCTACAAAGGTCTACTATTGTTTCACAACACCAGAATAAGATTGGTAATCCCATGGATATGACTCAGGTCTCTAAGGGAGCCATTCCATTTGCATCAAGCTCAAATGGACAGTCATACAAAACACCCGCACGTAATGTAAGTCATGCTTCAGTAAAGGCGGCAAAGTCTGCAGCAAAATCATCACCACGATACGAGAATGGAGAGAACATTGTTCTCCCCGAAATACCTAGTGATAGTGAAGATGAAGATGATGAAGATGATGAGAAAGAGAAGAAAGCGTTCCAAGGGCTCGGCTGGACAGATTCTCCGGAGATTCGCAAACAATTGGCACTCCAGGAAACTATTGATCCATCTAAGATTTTCGGACGACCCCAAGCCTTGAACATGGAAGAAGTGTTCGATAAAAGCAAGGATCGATTCCACAAATTTAGGGCTAGAACATCCAGTGCCAATTGGAGCGGATCTGATCGCCTTACGGAAGAGGAAGTGCGCAAGGATTTGGAAGGGAGAGATCGTGTGCGAA